GTACCCTCTCACACCATACTGCTAGCTATCTTGCCACTCTGTGTTATGTGCACATGGCTTTAAAAAGACCGTTGTGATTGTGGAAAATATTATTTTTCTGCCCATTCATATTACTTTTCTATAAATAAAAGGAAACCTTTACATTCTAAATTTGGAGTGTAACATACAGCTGGCCCAAGTTATACTTTGAATCCTACCACCTACTGTAGAAAGGGACTGCTTGGGATTGAGCCAGTTAAAATAAAAAGTCCACTGAGTCATAAAGGCCTATTTATTTTCTGTGCTATTAGAAAAGATGAACACATTTCAGTGAACTTAGCCTTGTAATAGAAGGTCCGAGCTGAACTTGACATTCTATGATAGTAACAGATGACAAGACAAAATGTGAAAATCACATTTCCGAACTGAACTGTCTAAGAAAAATCCACAGGAAGAAAATGTACTGATGTTAACTTGATTGATTTTTTAGTACATTACATTTTTTAAATGGAAAAGGTATTTAAACAAACTATTTCTAGTTCAGCTGGTATGTCTTCACCTGATGGATTTTTAGGAAATTAAATTTAATATCAATTACATCTGCATCACAATGTATTTTGTTAATAATGATGGCATCTAAAAAGTACTGGGTCTTTAAGTATGGAAATACTTCTTCCAAGTCATATAAATACAGCATATGTATGTATGTATGTATATTTTTTTATATATATATATATATATTCATTTCATCATCAAAATAACCTGATAAGGTCAGTACTCTTAGTATGTTCATTTCCCAGAGGCTAATTAACTTCCAACCAAATGGGATTAGAATCCAAGCCATCTAGTTCAAGATTATGTATGCTTCATCATTATTCTGCTGCACAGTAACTGAAGGGTTTCCTGAGTAGCTCTAGATTAGGGAAAAGCCTGTCTTGGTAACTCTGAACAGAGAAAGGCATAGCCCAAATGGGACACACTGCAGAACCTTAGGACTGACTATCTAGCCTTCTGGGATTCTAGTCATTATTTTGAGCCCTTATGGGCATTTTTATATGACCAATATATTTGGTATTTCTTGTTCTACTTGCAATCTTGCAGCAGCCAAAAACCTTTATGAATGAGTCACACAGGCCCTATTGTGATCAACTATAAAGTGCTACAGTGGGAAATCATGGTATGTGGTCAGAATAGCCCCTGACTCTAGAAGGTTTATGCCATCACCATCCTTCCAGGAGCTAATAAAATGGTATATTTTCATTATCTAAGTAAGTAGAGGACAAAGTAATAAGGAACTCAAGTGTCTCAACACAGGACATTTAAAAATCTGTCTTTTTTTGTTTTTTTGTCTCTGCAATGTTTCCTGATCAATTATTGCCAAGTTTATATACAGTTCAAAGTCACCCCAAGCAAACTTTGACTTTCAGGTAGATGCAGACAACCCTGATAAGGTGAATAAATCCTAAGCCAGTTACGTAAACATATTTCATGAATGATCCATTTGGAATCTAGAACCTCTTGTTTCTTTAATTAGAAATGAAAAACTTTGCTTAACCAATATTGTTTTGTCACAAATGCATCATCATTCTCTTGAGCTTTGATATAGGTATCATTCAGAGTTTACATGCTTACATTGTCTCATTAAACTGGCTTTAGTTTTTTTTCCTTACCGTAAATTTGTGTGCTGCTTAAACATCAATGCAGAATATGCTGCTCTGATATCTAAGATTTGACAAACTGTCAAAGTTAGAGTTATGACTATTAGAAACAATACTGCATCTCAAATTTCATGATATAAATGTTTGTAATATACCAAGAAAAAATATCCCCAGATTAATCAAACTCTGCAGTGTGAGATAATATTTTAGGACTGAAGTGATTTTTAGTAGAAATCAAATCATAATTCTTTGTTAACTGAGATGCTTCTGACCAATGAGCACCTCTGATTCAATCTGCTCCTCAATGGGAGTGGTTTTTTACTTAATATTACCAATGTAACTCCTTTGCATTATGCTAATTAATACGCACTGTAAGACTCCCAAAATGGGTCTAATGATATGCACAAACTTTATCTAGACAAGTATACACTGAAAATCCAACATTTAAAGAATATTCCACCTAAAATACAAGTACATAAATATATTTACTTTCTTCCATAGTACTACTCTTATACTATCTAACCCTGGCTTGTTGTAAAGAGATGTTCCTTTGTGCTTTAAAAAACACAAATAAAAACCAATGCCTTCTTTCTCTTTAAAAAGTTTTCATAAGCATATCTGGATTTTTCTCCCACTCTGATAAGAAGTTTCCCAAATATTTACTATCTTAAAATTCAGAAAATTCACAGGGGTATCTGTACCTAAAAGCCACTCCAGGGGTGGTAGTGGTTTTAAACTTTAAATTATAGAGATACAACAAATTGTTGAGTGATGAATATAATCTTAGTTGTCTACATAAAAACCGTCTCTCTGAAGCTTTGTTCCAACTATAATAACTTGGTGTGCTTACTAGAAAAAAAATCATGAGCATACGAGTTTCATGCATGATTGATACCATTACTGTTTATTTTAAGACTGTCCTTGAGAATCAATCAAATAAAGCATTCTCAGTGTGTGTGTTCTGCAATGAAGAATGAGGAACACAATGTAAATGCCTCTTCTGGAGAGGAGAGGAAGTAATGGGATATTCTTCGCATTAGCGTTTCCTACCAAAAAGAAATGTCTAACAAAAGTGAACCAGGCAGAAATGCATGTCAGAAAATATTCTGTCATTCTATGTTCTGAGGTATTTTGATTAACTAGCAATTTTACTGTATATGTTATTCCTGTAAAAACAGAGGTTGTTACATGTAAAAAAGCTTATAAATCCAACCAAGGAAGTGCTCAAGAGCTTTAAAAAATCTATTTGGGAATAATTCAAACTACGAAACATAATCTCCTATAAATAATTAGAAAATACCCTTTGTAGCAAGTAAGCTTTTTAAGGTCTCGGAGGGCACATGACTTTAATTTGTTATAGTTGCATCTTTGCACTGTACAATAAACATGAATGGAAGAACTTAAATACTTCAAAAATAGGAAAATAACACTCCTCTGTGAACCATTTTTTCACATATATCTTGAAGACAGATTTTTGGAATCTGAAATCAAATCATGTTTAGTAACACTCTAACTTTTTCTTGCATAATATTTGATTGAACTAATTGAGGAAGGCAAATGTAAAGAAATTCTGTCTAATTGAGGTTTAACCTCAGAAAGAAACCTAATAATCATCAAAACACGGTTATTCCAATCTCTGAAAACGAATCAAAGACTTCCCCAAAGAAGGTAGCCATTAATCTACATTCTACTTCCCTTCCCATAGGGAGCAAGACGCAGCCTGGCACTTACTTTTAAGAACCTCCCATACCCCACTTCATCACCATCTCCATCACCACCAGTCTGAAGCAATAGGCCCTTCTGTTTATAACATTAAAAGTAACAGCTTCCCATTTTCATTCTTGAAGCCTATGAACTAATTATTGCAACACTAAATTATCTCTTGATTTAAATGTTAGGTACAAAAAAATCCCATCTGTGGTATGTAATTACAAAAGTTCAAATATGCCATCAAAAAAAAAAAAAACGTCTGGACTTCCAACGACCCCTTTCCATTTTTCTCTTCTATGGAGAAAAACAAAATGTCTTTTTCAAGACTTTTGAAACTGTTTCTGTTTTCAAGTTGGGGTTTTCATGTAACATATTCATACTTCACACCTGCAAGCTTATTTAAGTAATTTACAGTGGCTCTTACTTTTTCAAATACTTTGTTTCTGTACCATCACTTGTCATATGTAGTGCTAAGAACAGTTTATATAAACACAATTATATTCAGACTGTGCCTCCACACATGGCATTTATTATGCGCAGTTTGTATATAAATCGGTTACAAGAAGCATGTTCAAATCCTGTGCAACAGGTCCTGCTATTGTGTAGACACAGGCTTCCAACAAAATGACAGGAAGCTTTATCGTATCAACAGTATAGCAAAAAGTCACTTTATTCCTGAGACTTAATCATTGCTTTGAGAACTCAGAAGACATTAGATCTTTTTATCAAAAGGAGAAATTTTAGCGAGACCCTCTGTCTTTGCACCCCACCCTGAGTGTGATAAACTTGTGTCACAGCCCAGGTGTATTCCCACTTCCATTCTTTTACTGCACACCGCTGGCTTTAGTGCTGAGATGATGACAGGGAGAGTACTTTGGCACAGGTCTGAGGAGTCCTTATCCCCAAATTCCCTTTTGTTTTGTGCTGTCTGATCCCAAAGCTATCACAGTAAAACAAATGACACTGTGAGCTCTTTCAGTCTTGCCGTGAGAGTGTGAAATTAAAAACACACCCCACAATTGTTACATGGGGCCACGTTTATTTTCAATTGGCGGGGGAGGGGGAGAGAAGACACTTAAAAAGAGATGGATTTCATGTCCTCTGAGTAGCCAGATCGAGTTACTGTGTATTAAGTTATGCCTAAATCAGAAAGAGACTGTCTGCTCAAGTGTTTTATCACAAAGTAATGTTATTAAACATATCAAGTATTCCCACTCTCTCCCCTAGATTCTTTGATTTTTGCCTCCTTTGTTAGGCACAAACCACAGGGAGAAAGATTTCGGGAACAATACCAAGGCAGTTCATGAATCCAGGCAATCAATTCTGCCTCTCCCGAGCGGTTCATCCATCCTGAACTCAAGCTATCTTCCCTAAGCTACTCGTTCGCCACACGGAGGGCTGCGCCTTTCCCTGGGTGAGCAGCGTGGACCGGCCACAATTGTGTCTCGGGGCGCGCAGCATCGTGCTTTGTGCTGTTGGGGATAACGGATTCTCGGTCGCACACACATCCATCACCTAAGACAGGGAAACTCAACCAGGGTTTCCACGGCTGCAAAAGAAACAATGTGCTGAGACTCGGCAGCGCGGAGCTGAAGGGAACCTACGGGGCAAAGCCCAGGCAAGGGGAGAGGACGGAAGCCCTCGCACTCTTACCTCCACATTGAAATACTGCTCCGTTCCGCAGACTGTAGCACACACAATCCAAAGCAAGGTTTGCAAGAAAAACACCCCCGAGTGATGCACGAAATCCACCCGTCTTCCAGTGCTGAAGGCGAGTAAGATCATAGTGAACTGTGCTTCAACGGATGGACGAGCTCCCCTTCGTTCTCTCCCTTTCCCTCTCCCTCCCTCCCTTGTTTCCTTAAAAAAGAAAAAGAAAAAAAAGAAAAAAAAGAAGTCCTCCGGGTGGGCAAGGAGCCTGCAGGTTCACCCGCGGCCGGGCAGGGGCAGAGACGGGGCCGAGCTCGGCAGCCCCGAGGAGCGGCGGCGGAGCGG